ACCTCTCTCAGGCTGGCCTGGGATCCATATCCTTTTCTAGGTTGGCTCTTTGACCCTGGATTTGGCTGCAAAGCTTGGTTGTGGGTCCTCTCCCCTCATCCTTAGTGTTAAGCATCCTCTGAATCCCCTATAGCCAGTGGCCCCTCTCAGAAGCAGTCATTCTGACCATTAAACTGCTTCTCAGTACCAAAACATCACTCTAAGTTCAACATACTTGTGAGAAATCTAAATGGATAATCTAGCATTCATCCCAGCAAAAATATAAAAGAGGCTGGAGAACACCACCAATCCACAGCAGCAGGTACCTCAATTCCATGACTACTGTGTCCCAGGCACTGTCTTAACCATTTAAACCCTGTGTACTCCATATCATTCTTTCAATTGGCAACAAGAGAGCACAAGGTACCTCATCTAAGGCCACACCAATAGCAAGCCAGGGTCAGGATGTAAACTTAAACTGGGCTGACTCAATGCAACTTAAGAAGTTAAGAGGATGTCTTAAACTTGTGAATTATCAATGACTTGAGCCCAAAGCTTTATTAGACCTCATAGACAAGATAGAGAGATCAAGGAGACTGAGTAGCCAGAACACCTCTCCTCAAGCCCTGTTGAGAACCTTGCTACCCATGTTCCCACAGACCTGTCCCTTAGTCCATCTTGTCATCCTACCTATCTCCAGACCCTCTGCCTTTCTGCAGGCACATCTTGTTGTCAGCTTATCAGAAAACAGCACTGAAACTCTGCCTTCTACTTCCAAATCTCAGAGTCTTGGTTTTAGATGAAAACTACTTTCCAGTCTATTTCCACTACTAATCATTCTAACCAAGAAAAAAAAAAAAAAAACCTGAACATCAGTTGAATGCTTTACCACATTTGTTAAAGTTAAAACTGGTGTGAGCTGCCCAGTACATGGAGAAGCCTGTGCAGCTGGTACCCAATGAAGTCGGGACTTAAGGGTTCTGACTCTGAAGACATGTGTGGGGCTTTTGCGAGCTCAGGGTCAGGAGTTTCTTCAGTTCCCCAAAGTGCAGCATGACTCCAGATTCACCGAACTTACGTTTGCATGCAAAAGCCAACTCCATCTTAAGGTTCAAAGATGAGCTTCAACACAGCATGGGTGTCCGTCAGGTTGGTTAAACAATATCAGTCCATCCCTTTTCCATATTCTAGCGCAAAGAAGCAATTGCTAAATCAGCAAATTGACTGTGGCCTATAGGAACCTAGAGGGAGCTACCCAATTCAGGTGCTTTCTTTTTCTCCTTCTCAGTCAAGCAGGGTTACTGTAAGGACACACTTTAAAAAGCAGCTCATTGTGGATGTGGTTTTGTCTCACGGCCCTCCAACACAGAGGTACATGGATGTGAGCCACTGCCCTCCTGCTCTGAACAAAGCCTCAGAGTCATCCTGTAGAGCACCATTCTTGCTATTTGGACCAGCAGCCAAATCTTAAATGTGTCCAGGATTTGTATGAGGAAAAAAATTGTTGGTTTTAATCTGTATCATGGTGGATTAGATTAATTATTGGGCTGCAATCCCCACTTTTTATTGACTGATTAACCAAAGGTGCTTTGGTAGTAAATTATGATATCACCTGATACATTCAGCAGGGGCTTGCCACGCTTGTTAAATAGAAGACAACTCCCTAGAGCCACACAGAAACTGGGGCCCAAAATGGAAACTGTCGACCCTATGGATGTTTCTGAGCCTCTCAGTTTCTTACCAGGGGGCAGTCACGCAGTGGGACCAAAAGCCACATGTTGATACTTCGCACTACCTGCTGACGGTTGTCCTGCTGCTTCCCAGTTGTCCTCCTAACAGTAGAGGTACAGTCTCCAGGGACTCAGAAGACAGGGGTGGAGCCGTACAGGTCATCACACCTTACCTCCTCCGTATTTGCAGACAATAGACCCAAAGCTCAGCAACGGAGTCACTCTGCTAAGGAACAGCAGAAACACGGAATCTACTTCCCAGGCCATTGCTCCCGTCCCCACATGGTGCTGTGGTTTCTGGGACACATGAAGCTTTATTTCCATCAGAGAAAAAGAAGGGTTGCTAGAACCAAGGCACAAGTTTTCAGACAGTGATTGGTTCTATTCCAGCTCTAGGCGCGTGTGTTATATGATCCTAGGCAAAATGTCTAACTGTTCTGCTCCTCAGTTTACCAGTTTACCAATGGGAAATAACAATCGTGGATATATTTTGGAGGTTTGTTTTTAAGGTTAAAGGAATTTAAATATGCTTAGCCTTTGGGCTCAGGCTTGCCCCACACAGAACACAGTACAAACACAACATCTCTGTTATTGTCAGCACATCAAGCAATCAATCGATTTTCTAAGTCATTCTCATGGTTTCCATTCTGGAATATTCAAAAGGAACATGCTTGTAACCCACTATCCAGTGAGCCCCAAGTGTCTCACTGCCCCACCAGAAACACTTATTTCTCTTTAGGGTTCCACCTCCTTCTCTCTCCATCTCTTACTCTTTTATGCTTTGCTTCAACTAGATCCAACCTCTTAGTGACAGACATTCACAGAAAGGTTTATATCTACCCACTGCCTCCTACACTAAATACCTTTCTTGAGAGTGAAACATGGGCTACAGTTGTTTCCCAAGTTAATATCAACATAGGATGAGATGAACACAAGTATACATGTATGAACATACATAACTAGTCTAATATGTATACATGTATATTTATTATATATAATACAATATACCTTTAAAGAAAAGTTTGTGTGTATGTGAATAAGTGAATTAAGTGTCCATAAGTCCTTCATTCATAGATTCAAGCAACTGCACATTGAAATTTTGTGTTTAGAGTAAGATATTTCTCTGTAGTAGAGCAGTTGTCTAGCATATATAAAGGTCAATCCCCAGGACAAGAAAAATAGGAGGAAGAAAGTGGAGGAGGAAGAGGAGGAGGAAGATGATGATGAAGAGAATGAGAAGAGAAGGAGAGAAAAATATTATCTGTACTAAATAAGGACAGTTTCATTTTCTTGCTATTACTCTATAAGCAATGTAACAACCATTTCCACAGAATTACAGACTCTAATACTCTAAGACCAATTTAAAGTATGCAGGAGAATATGTGCAGGTTCTGTTAAAGCACTTTGCATTTTATCTATGATCCTTGAGCATCTGCAGATTTTGGTATATGTAATGGCTGCTGGAACAAGATTCTGTAGATGCTGAGGTAAAGCTGTGTGTTATAGAGATACCAGTTTGGAAATAAACTTGTGAAGAAAAGTATAAGCCTTCCAAATCTGCATTGTTTAGTTCCTTATAAACTTACTTAGCTATAGAAGGTGAATTTCAGGCTTGAGGTCAGTTCAGACTAGGATGAAAGACCTTGTCCACCCCTGACCCATCCCTGACACATTATGGGAACTGCACTGCTCTGCAACTGAAACATTTTCAAACTGAATACTTTCTATGGGCAAATACAGTTCATTAGGATGTGTGTTGGCCTTGCTAGGGGCCCAAGAATCAGGCTAATTTTCACAAATATTTTTCACCTCCATGGGTCCCATAGCACTATGATAGAGTCTGGCTCTTGCTGATGTTTGTGAATACTCCATAGCAAAAATGCAGTACATAGCAAGCCAAATTTCAAGCTATCACCAAATAAATATGACATTTTAGTTTATAAGAGCATTGCATATATTGTAAGTCAAGGGGAAATTTATCTGTTTGGAAATCCTTGAAGAAGAAACAGCTGCAGTCACACTGCTAAATTAAGAGTCCTGGCCATCCCTAAAAACAGAGCTGAATCTTACCCCTTCCTAAGCAAGGCCATGACACAGATTGACAGCCAAGCCAATGACTTGGTTCTGGTTCAAGAAGATCCTCAGCTCTTCTCAACCACTCTTTCCTGCTAGCTTGGTTTCCTTCCCAAAGAGGCCATGGAGGCCTAGCTTGAGTTGTTGGTAGAAGAGGTGTGCTGTCTGTCTGCTTATCCTTCCCTTCCTCTCTGGTCCTATGGAGGCATCTCTCTTGTGGCTTTCACTCCTTTCACAATGTGCAGTTTGCTTTTCCTGGGGTATATTTGCTTGTACTTACGGACTAGTATCTTGCTTACCACTCCAAGTGTTTGTAAACAAAGTTCATGGAAGGGTCCAAGAGACAGAGTTCAACACCTGCCCAGGTGGCCTTGGACCTAGGCAAGCAACGATAAGAGTAGTTGGTAGTTTGTCTTTCTGAAGCATGGTGAAGGAGCCTGACTTGTGACTCTGGGGTTTTATTTTTCTGTAGAACGTGCATGACTCTGTAGGGCCAGAGGAAGGAGACAAGAAAGACAGAAAACAAGAGAGAATTCTTTAAGCTGAGCCATCTATAGGGTGATGATTTGTTCTAAGGATGCAGAGTTTTGTTTGTGAACATTAGAGCCATGACTGGTGACTGAGATATACCCACTCACAGTCTTTAGTTACCCTTAGCAACTTTGAGAGGGGCTTCCAACACCCGAATTACACATAAAAAAGATGAAGTCTGCATCTAGACTTCTATAACTCACAAAATATCTCCATCCCTCTCTCCCCAACGCTTGCTTCTCACCCCTGGGGATCCTCTCCTTCACACCCATACCTGTCTATTTCCTGGTCACCCCTATCTGTACTAGAGCCCGTTTCCACGGGAAAATGATGGTAACAGGCGGTGAAGGGGTCATCATGCCTTAACTTACTATAGAGCCCTGTCTGTTGCCCTGATTTTGAGCCAATATGCTTAATTGACTGTCGTTAACTCACTCGTCATATTTTTCATTCTTGAACTTTCAGAAAAGGTGGCAGTAGTTAAAGCAACCCATTAACTACTCCCTTTAGGGTTCTATCTTCCTATTGGGCATTCTCTGGCTCTCCACACCTAGAAGGGTCGGTGGGGAGGGATGGGACTTGGGATACTTGCCACAGAGAAGCATGACTTGCACTTGTTTGTCAGGGGTAAATATGGTGCCCTATAGGCTATATGCTAATGAATCTGTCTCTCTTTCCCCTACACAGGGCCTGGAGCAGTCATTGATGGTGTAAATTCGGCCTCTAGAGCACTGGCTTGTCTCTGGCTCTCGGGGACCTTCTTTGCCCATTTCTTCATCAAGTTTTGATAAGGAACCATAGGTCCTCTGAGCAACGCCTGCTTCTCCATATCACACAGACTTTAATCTACACTGTGGAGGGCAAACCAGTTTGGGCTTCTTTTTGTTTATTTTTGTTTTTCTTGACTTTTGTTTGTTCGTTTTCTGGGATTGATTTTCAAATTTGATTTGATTTTTCTCTTTTTTAGTTTGAATGAGTGGGGTTGGGGGTTGGGGTGGGCAGGGGTCTACCAAGGGTAGGATAATCATTCATTGGTGTGCCCCCAAATGGAATCTGTTCCTGCTGCCTTGGCCTTCCTTTTCTCTACTTCTCTTCCCACAACCATTAACACACACACACACACACACACACACACACACACACACACACACACACACAGAGGCATTCCACAAAACTGCGCAAAAAGACTATGTCCCATGACAAACACCCTGAAGGTACAACTTGACTTACAATGTAGTCCACAGTAAGAGTTGCATCTACGTGTCCTATTGTCTTTTGAGCTTTCAATCATTTCCCCAGTCAAAAGGGACATATCCTTATCCCCATACTTATCATCACCTATTCCATTAGGCTTCCCACTTTTTCTTTGTAAGAAACTCTCTCACTATATCCATAGATATGCATATAACTACACCCACATGTAAGATTCTGCCATCTTCTCTGGCCTTTCTGCTCTAGGCATTTCTTCCACTACCTGTAAGAATTACAGGCTTGAGACTACGCATGCAGCCCACAACTAAACATTTACAAGTCAAGTAACAAAATGAGGGAAGTATATTAATGCTAATACTTCCCTTAAATGCTGTCACAACTCATGAAAAGGCGATCAATAGCTGGCTAATTATTTTATCAAGCTATCAAAGCAATCATACCATTATCCAGCTATTCAATTGATTTATCTCTCCATCTAGTTCTATCCACCTGTCTTTCTCTCACACAATCCATTTCCTCTATTTATCATAACATCAATGTAATTATCTCACTGTTCTCTGTTTCTCTTCCCACTACTCACTATCAGTTCCTCACTGTATTAACCTCTGATCATGTATGTCCATGCCACTATCTCCATTTCTCCACCATCATCAATAGACATTGTCATCTTCAAATCTGCCTAGCAACTTCTTATGTGAAAGCCAGTGAGCTCACAGGCTAACTACACAGACGAGCAATTTCCTATGCCGTGGATCCTTGGGAATGTGGAAACCCTTCCACCCAAATTAAACATTGGGAACAGATGGACCAAAGTAGCAATCTAAAGATCAGTCCCTCACGATTCCCAGAGAGACTGTTTCCTGAAGCGCCTTCTTGGGAAGCAGACGAGCCCTGGGGAAGCTTGATTATGCTGCATCTCTCCTTCAACAGCTGGAAGATCAAGGTACCAACCTCATGCTGCTCTCAGTCTTTCAAGAAAAGTGCACGTCAGGAACTTGGAGGAACTTCTTGGTCGCTGGCTTTCATTAGCAAAACGAACCTGATGAGAACCACCTATCTGTCCCTTCTTTGTAAAGAAAACAGTCCATCAGCCGAGGTGTGATAACTATAGCTAAGCATCTCCCTTCTGCTCCAGTTTTGATTTGAATTGTTTGAAAATTATCCAGCAAAGGGCTGATGGAGGCCAATTACGTGGTGCATGTGTTGACAACTCTGGTATTTGTTTCAGAAAGCTCTTCTAAGCTGAGGGCACTTGAGCTACTGACTTAATTTCCAAGCACTTGATTAACACAACATGGCAAACAGGCAGGAAATGTAAGTAATACTGTTTCCCAGGCCCTTTCTCTAGCACGTTGGGGATAAATGTCCCCACATTTCTGTGTTTGAAGCAGGCCTAGTGTACAAAGAAGATCAAATCCAGCCTCTCAGCACTGTCTCTTGGGAACAGAAGAACTCAGCCAACAAGGGAACCTGCAGTTCAAATGAACAACGTTGAAGGCCACAAAGGGATCTCTCTAGGGACTAGCTTACTGAGTGAGTTGAGAAGGAGTCCCAACCGTGACTTTCTCACAGACATGTCCTGCCTCCCTCTGGGACCCTTTTCAGGTCCGCCTCTGAAAACTGATAACTATGGGTTCCATTAGAGTTCAGTTCCTGTTAAGCTTCACTGATCGCTCCAGTATAAGTGTCCACTCTGTGCCACTATGGCCATATAAATACAATACCCACAGTGGGTACATATAGACCTGTGTATACATATTCGCATATACACAAATGCAGGCTTCCTTGGCATACAAAAGCTCGGCGCTGTCATAAGAGATAGAGCCGGGGTGAGCAAAATTAATACTCTACTTGCCAGCTGTAAACAGACATCTGCATTTCCTAGCGAGCTGCCAAGAATGAGACTCTGAGAGCATAAATGATGTGCCAAAAACCAGTCTATTTATTCCAACTTCCAGAGGCAATCAGGAGCAGGCACGGAGTCAGAATTACAGGTCGGATATATGAATTTCAGATCTGTCACCGCACTCAGCACCTGGGAGTGGGTTGGTGTCAAGCATTGTATGAGACATAAACGTGGCATTTGAGTTTTCTAATAATCCTACATTTGTTACTTTGGAGAAAAGGAAAATGTGGATGCCATGGGAACTGAAAAGTGTTGGGTGATCTGCTGCTTGAAATGGACAAGCTGTAACCGTTCTTCACCACCTTGCACAAGCAGATCATCAGAACCCCATTGAGTATGGACTCAGGGTCACCCTGCAACTCTGCTGTGCCTAGTCTCACTGGATACTAGATGTGTCTCTGGTAGTTACCTTCTCCATCCAAACTTCAGAAGGAAAAAACATGCTCTAGCCAATCCTCATGTCTGGGAAAAAGAAAACCAAGAAGAAATGACTCCAGGCAACTGGGTACCCGATATGAAAATGACTTCTACAGAACAGACATGCCCCAGCTCCTGTGTTATCTGAGTGACCTTGGTGAGGATGGCTCCATGTGATGGGAGCTGGTTCCCACACTTTGAAGCAAGCAGAACAGCAGCTGCTCGCTAAAAACAACATACACACTTCCACATGCCTTTCCGACTTTACACATGAAGGGGGGATGGATCAGGCCTACTGGACAGATTTGTTCAGCCTATCAAGGGTGGGTGTGGGGGAGGGATAAGGTTAGGAAAAAAGGATCACATTAGTCTGAGTAACTGGTAGAACATTGTGGGTTTTCTAAGTGGAAACCACGTACAATTTATCAAGAGATTAAGTAAAAGGAATTCAGCAAAGGTAGTTATCCTAAAACATTTCCCCTTCCCAAAACAATGCTAATTTGTCCTACCACCAAAGTAACGCCAATGAAAGTGCTAGTGTTAATGGCTCTGGCCGAGCTTGTTTTTAAGTAGTTTAATGTCAAGTGCCTGATACAGTCATCTGCAAGTTTAATCAAGGGTGTTTAGATTTTCTTTCTTGTTCTCATTGGGAAGGGTGGGGATGTAGTTGTCAAAACACAGATAGCTCTGACCCAGATAGCTCAATACATGGCTCTTCTGCTGTGGGCTACAATTGTGTGCAGTTCAACAGAAGGAAAGAGAGGACTGTGTATCACCCAGATGACAGGATCTTCATCCTCGGAAGTTCATACTGCTTTGGGATGTTGTTCATGGGTTGGGAAGTTGGTTTTCAAAATCTGGTGTGGTTGGGGTCTCAAGGAGCTCCACCGCAGAGGCTGAGCTTTAAGAATCTCTTTCTGCATCCCTCTGGTCAACTTGTCCTCAGCAAAGAGGACGAGCAAATTCTACCTATCTTAGAAAGAAAGACCAAAAGAGCAGAAAAGCCCCAAAGTAGATAGTTGATCCCAGATTGTTTATCACGGCCACTGGATCAAGAATGGTTGAAGTTTAATACTATTGTTTGGGTTGATGCTTTCGGGAGGGGCACATGTTCTTAGTAGCCCATAGAGCAATTGCCAGCCCCATAAGAGATGGTGGAGGGGAATAGCTTATGAAGTTACGAGGGAGTATCTGTCCCCAGTTTGATCCTGAGTTTTCACCAGAATAGGAAAAACAGTATCTAGAATCGGGAACCCTAAAGCTGTTCCTGTTAGAGCTAGAGGAAGCAGCATAATTACTATTTCTAATTTGGGGGCAAAATGTATTTTTCTCCAACAGCAAGAACATTTGGGTTTTACTTGGCATAAGTCTTACTCCTAGAAATTCTCATGTACAATTGCTTCCCCCCTTATTATCCAGAGCTCCCCTCTCTTTCTTTCAAGACAAATGCGTTTGAGTAGCTACGGCAACACTTCACAGGTGTTTAACTAGGAACGCAACAGTGTACAGGATGCCGTATGATGAAAACTTCTAATGACCACACACACACACAAAAGCAAACAAATAAAAATGCCAGGCTCATTTCCCCCATTTCTTACATAAGAGAAGAGAAGTAAATGGAAGGAAGAAGAAATAGATTTGCAATTAAAAATGTGACAAAGAGATAAAGCTGAACCAGTGCAATTTAGCCTTCAGGTGCAGAACGTGGAGCCCAAAAGAACGTAGAGTGGACTTAATTAGATGCAATTGTCTTCACAGTGAAAGTAGTCAGCAAAAACCAATTTCCAGCATTTTGGAAGAGACTTCCCGCACCCCCTTCCCCTGAGTGGTGCCCTTTTAAGGCACATGGTTGTTTCACACCACTAGGTGGAGAAAGAAAGATTGGGAGCCTCTACTATCCTTGTGGGGCTTCATACCAGGTTATTTGGCAGAGTTTCAGAGTCTCAATCATAACAATGGTAAGTAATAATAGCTGCCCTTGTGTTAGTGAAGAGGAACATTTTTAATCATTCAGAAATTCTTGTGACATGTAAAGTGCAATTGTGAGGAATGTGTGGGTGTACGAAAATGTATCTGTCAAGTTCAGAGTCCTCTAGATTAAAAAAAAAAACTTATATGATTATCAATGGTGCCATTAATAGCTGTGTTGGACAATGGATGTGCCCATTTTCACCATTATTCTTAAAACAAATCTATGTACTGATGCTTTAAAAGTTTATCACATGATACAAGAATATGATTTTGTCAGCCTTTAAAACTTCCCTTTTTTTTCCTTTTGCATTCTTTCTTATTTTTTTTCCTTCAAAAATCAATGAAGACTTGATTTCTGTCAACCATTGTATTGAGGGTGAATATACTACCTGGATTTTGTGCATGTTACATTGTAGCTGTAACCTTTTCTAATTCAGGATGAACACAAGACGGTTGTGATTGTGCAGTGTATCAATAAAGTTTGAAGACATTTGTAACTTTTAGGGGGCTCTTCATTAGGATGTCCCTTTGAGATCCAGTAATGGCAAAAAAAAAAAAAAAAAAAGAAGAAGAAGAAGAAGCAGTTATGTGTTGTAGACTTTGGGGAGTCATTGTGATCAGAAATATGAGTAATGCCCCCACCTTCCTCTCTCCCTCTCCCTTTTTCCTGTTCTTTCTCCTCTTCTACACACACACACACACACACACACACACACACACACACACACACACACACACTCAGAGCACTCTATTTACTTTCTGTATCTTATGTCTAGCAAACATCTATGCTATTTACAAACAACAAAACGTTCAGCTCAAGCCCCAAAACCTCAGTTATTTACTGACATTGGCTAAATTGAAATCAGAAGTTTCCTAAAACAATGACTGGGTTCCTCTCAGTTTGGCCATTCTTTCCCTTCAGAGTCTCCACTACTTCCTTTGGCTGAAGTCTGCACCTTTCGCCAAGGATGGCAGTAATGATGTACATTCGTTCTTGAATGGAGGTGCCACCAGATTATCATTCAAAGTCTCAACTGTCATAATATACATACAATAAATAGGAATATGCCCCATTTCCCAGGTTGTCATCTCTAAAACATTTTATTTTCCCCCGACCCCAACTTCTCCTCCATTACCACATTGTTTTTCTAAAAGAATGGATAATAAATTTTAAAAAAGCACTTTCTCTCAGCAAGCTGTCCCTCAGTGAGTCCTTCCCGGGAGATATTTCATCTTGGATTGGACACACTCAGCCTTTTTACCTCTCATCTGTACCATTTGTGATTTTAATACACCGTCCCATTGCTTCATCTCCAAATTCTGATGTGTTTTATTTTTATTTTCAACCCCTAGATTGCTCTAGGCTTCTCGCAGATAAAGCTGAGGGGAATGGGCACTGATGATTTGGGAGTTCAGGATGGGATAGATAAAGATTCTTGATCTCATTTTACAACACAAGTAGCTTTTCTGGAAAAGTTCTTGAGCTAAAATTTTGAGACTCGTATTCTTATTCTTTTTGGTTAATCCAGAGCTTCTGTGACTCAGTTTCCCCTGAGGAAAAGGAACACAGACACCTCAATACATGAGCTATATGTGTGCTTTGTAAATCAAAATGGCAAGTAAATGCTTGGTACTGATGACTGGAAGTGTCTATTCTCCTTGTGTTTGGTGTGAGAGCATGGCTTCCCCATTCCCCTACTGACCTTCACTCCTTCCACATTCCCTTTCTCTCCATACTTTTCCTTCTTTTTTTTTTTTTACATCACTTTCCTCCTTTATGCACCTGACTCTCTTCTGTTCCTGTTCATGCCACAACAATTTCCCATCTACCTGCTCTTTTTTTCTGGTAGAGACATTTACCAGTGTTTCACTCCATCTGGCCACTCTGCCATCAAACATCAGTGTACCAATTTATTCTTCCATCAGCTAACCACTCACCTAGCCATTCACATATTATTTCCCCATTTATACTACCCTAATTCTGTCTATACAATCATGCGCCTCCCTAATGTGACTGTGTTCTCGGTCTATTTATTTAAGCCATCTATCCATTTCTTACCTGTCAATCCATCTGCTGAGCATCCTCCAGCTAGCCTTTGGCAGAAATACCTATTTCTCAGCCCACTTCAAGGTAATGAAAATCTTGGCTGTTATCTCTCTATTCCACAAGGGAGGCTTTATCTAGTTATTCTGAAACACAGTCGCTAAACGATTGGATGCATTTTTGTTATCTTCACCCCAAATACACCCTATTAAAAACGTACACCTACAGAAGTGCTTTGGGAGACGTGTAAGGGCATAGCTGCTCCTGTTGAAATGTGTTACATTGGGAAGAAGATGGAGAATTAGGAGTGAAAACACTCAGACGAAGCTTAACGTCTCATATTTTTTGTATGTTTGGTTAGTCGTTTTAACTACTGTCTAATAACTTGGATTTATTTGGGGAAAAGGTCTCTTTCTGTGGTATATGCAGACCTTTTACTGAGAACCCTCCTTCCTCTGCTCCCTAGTGCTAGGATTACAGATGTGTGCCACCATGTGCAACTTCATGCTTAGCTTCCTAACACAAAGATTGCAGTTGTGCAGTGAACACAGCCAATGACTGCAGAAGCAGACAGGAAGAGCCTGAATAGTGACCCCCCTTCTTTCCACAGACTTTTATTTGATGCTTAGTAAACTAGCTACCTTTGTGAAAGCTAAGGGTGACTGATGCTGTCACTGAGACCTTTGATCAGTTCTAGAACCCCAAACCGGGACACCACAAGTGATGCTGCCACGGTGTCATCATAGTCGTCTGGTCTGGAGGGTTCTCTTCTTCCTCATAGGCAGTCTGTTTATTCATGTATTCATCATGCATGCACCACATCTGCAGAAAAATTCCCCCAAGGAGTTCACATTTAAGATAAGGAAAGAGCTGTATAAAAAGGAACAATTACAGTAAAATATTGCAAGTATTATGATAGAAAGATGAGAAAATGGTTGTAGGCTACAGAACAAATATTGGGAGATAATTAGGAGACTTTCTTATTTTTCCCTATTGATCCCCCAGGGACAAAAATCTGGGATGTAAACAACTAAGATAGGCAGTGGACATTGCTCACAGATATTATTAATACAAAATAAGCAGGTTAACAGAACTATGGTGCATTCACTGTTCAAGAAGTCTGTGATGGAATAAATAAACATTTGTTAAGGGAATAAGTACCAGGAAAGTCATTAAAACTCAAAACACCCAAAGGGACACACTATGCAGTTCGTGGTAAAGCTGAGTCAAGACCTTTGGGATGGGTTGGACTAACATCCAAAGTGTCAAAACTGGCTGGAATCTAAAGCTCCATCTCCATGTAGGGTTACAGAGTGCATTGTCCCTCCTGCACCAGGGAGCTCTATGAGCCTTGGTGGTAGTTGAGAGAGTTAGAGGTGATTGGGACTTGGCAACAGTGGAGACCATCATCAGATGCAAAGGGTGGCCTTACTGGGTTCTGGAACAAGGCTCCACAAGATAAGATGCCTCAATTTCTCTGCCTTGGGATGAAATGGCAGACTTATTTGCATTTAAGTGTTTAAAAGCATCTCTTCTTTCAAACACAAGAGTGGATACAGTATTTACTTCTCCATTAACTATCTCTAGTGGGATGTATTTTCTTTCATTTACTTAGAGTCCTCAAACCAAGTATTTTCCCCAGAAATGTGGCATGATACAACTAGGGGGATATCTTTTTAAAATTACAACTTTACAAATTGCCTTGGACCAATTTCTGCCTTCGCTGAACTTCATTCTCAACTCTGACAACATAGTGGCTATAATAACCACCTTCCAAGACTGCCTGTTAGAAGTATTAGACTATTAGATGTGAATAGGTAAAAATGTTAGTGTAAGCCCTGATGAGAAACAGTTTGTTGCAAAGTAAACACTGGTTTTATTCTCTTATCCTCCCCTTAGACACTCAATGTCCCCATTTTCCTAAGCTTCTGAAAGAGATCATTCCAGCTATGTTTGCTTCTTTGGAAAAATCAAGGCATGCTTTCTATGTCATTCCCCTATAGAAAAGCAAAAAACAGACAGATATTTCTGAGGCTTGGATTATGAAAGGGCACAAGCTTAGAAAATGCCATTAGTAAGGTTTTTGGTAGATCCTGACTTTCCAGGGCACCACTACAGGCACAGAGATAACAAACTAATGGGAAAAGTAGTTATTTTCAAGAAAAGTCCAGCTCAGATTTAAAAGTATAGGATGGGACAAGGCCTTTTAGCATTCACCAGTCCCAGGATTCCATTCCATAAAGAGTAGTCCAACACATCATTTAAGGCATTATGCAGAACCAGAAGACCATTGAACTCAGACTGGGGGATTCTAGGCACACTTCTAGAAGAGGAGATATGAAGTCGAGTCTTCAAGGAACAGAGGAATGCAGCCAGGAAAGTGTAGGGGGGTGAGCGACATACAGAGTGCCATCCCATAGACCCCACAGATATGGGAGAAACACAAGAAGGCTAAGAAACTGGGCATGGGAACATGGGCCACTTGAAGAAGTGTGGTTGTTACAGAGGTAGCTCAGAAGAATCCAGACAGGATCAGCAAGAACCAGGTATGTCCAATCTTTTGCCACTGTAACAATTTTTCATCTGCAAAGTTCACACTGGAGAACCACCAAGTAAATGAGTGACAAAAGAAACTAAACACACCCACACACACCCACACACATACTTACAATGTTTTGAGTACATTTATAATATTGTGTTGGGCCACATTTATAACTACATGACTATACCTGGGGTACATGCAGTCCATAGGCCACAGGCTGGACACTCGTGGTAGACTCTCAGAACCTTTGCAGCAAGTGACCATATGCTGGAATTCACCCTAGAAGAAACAAGGGAGTAGAAAGATTTACTCAGAAGAGGGAAAGGGTTGGGTTTGCAGTTGAGAAAGACCCTCAGGCCACAGGGTTAAAAACAAACAAACAAACAAACAGTGAGAGGGACCCCTGCCAGGAAGAACTAGAATGAACAGTCAAGTGAGAAGGGGTGAGGAATAAGAAGCAATAAGCAAGTTAGAGTAATGTTGAGGGTTCAGCTGATGTTCGAGACCAGAGGAATGGCATACTGTAAGATGTAGAATATACATGCACAGTATTCCATGTTTTCAGCTCAGCCAACTGGGTAGAAGATGGCTGATTCTAAAATCTTAGGGAGACGATGCTATTTGATGCTGTTTTGGGCATATTCAGTTTTAAGTACCCTTCCGTAGAACCTCCAGGTGGAGATGTTTAAGTGCCATCAGCATTTTCCTGAGTCATCCAATCATATCGGCATGGTCCACAAGGGATGCCTGATTTCTTTTCTCTGCCATCCTCCCTAATTCCAGAGGAACTTTAAGCTCCTCAGATCATCCATCTGCAACTCGTTTCTTATCCTCCATCTCCTCTTTATCTTGATTTTGTCTTGAGAAGGTACTGTTTTTATTGCTTGCTGTGATGGAAGGTAAAGCGCAGATCCC